CCCACACCCTCAAGATTTATTATATATATGTAAGAGTTGAAGAGCGACTTTGAGCATTTAACTATTCAACCGATTATTCAGGGAGTGAGCGTTATGGTGAGGTGACTTTATGAAAAAACTCCAAGCTTTTCACGACAATCATTCCTTTCTTGTCTAACCCTTTAAGTCTTGGCTTTTTTTTGTGAAAAGTGGAATTTTTTGGAATGTATACATATGATTTTTAGTTCTGAGAAAGACTGTTTAATAGGAGTATTGAAGTTTAAAGGTGATGTTTTGTGCCTTTCTTCATGTTGAGAAGCAATAGCATAGTATTGAACGTGCAACAGTAAATTTATAAATGATAAAATAATAATATAGTGAATGGTTAGTAAATTAATATCGACGCAATATATTGAATAAAACGATGAAGTATGTGGGTGTGCGGAAGAGGATGAAATAAATTCCCCACAGCGACAGCCACACTCTCAATTAAGAGTTATCAAAATACGTAAAACTATTTTGAGGTCGTGTAAGTTATCAAAGTGACGAAGACAGTAGTTAAATTTTCAAAGTTTTAGCTTGATTATTCCGTTTTGTAATATGATCTGCCAATGACTTCCATCCTTGCTTTTCAGCATTGCTTAGTGCAAGTGTCGAATTACTCCAGAAGCCAGACTGCGACATTCTATACAATTCGTCGATAAAGTGGTTAGTCAGGACGAATACGTTTGTATCTAGCGCAAAGTCAAGTGCAAGCAGGATATCGCCCTGTGGTCTGACAGCTGGAATATTCCGCTCTTTCCATATATGAACAAGTTCGTTATAAATGCTAGGAGCTTTAGTAATCGAACCAACAATTCTCTCAATTAATCCACCATCTGCTGTTCTAGCAACCGTTTGAAGAAGAGGAGAATTATTACCCCCAAGCATGGTTCGTATTTCAATGATTTTGTATTGCATGTATTTTCTCTCTTGAATTTGTTTGGACATGATAAAATGATAATATGTTAGTTCAAAGAAATACCAATGAGTTTTGAAGATTGGTACATTCCAGTTAGGGTACTGTGTTAGGACCAAATCATTGAAATCAGATAATATTTCTCTATCAAATATATAGTTTATAACTTCGTTTGTATAGCCAGTGTGTATAAAGCTGCCTGTTAGATTTTCTGCGCAAGGAATTAAAGTGGACGAAACCCCCCAGTTATGTGCAGTATATATATATGGTGATGAAAAATAGTCTTTAAGCATCTTCTTCAGAACCATCGGTTTGAAAATAAAACTGTCTACGTCCAATAACCACGAGAAACGGGTAGAAGCCCCATTTAGAACTCCGAACATCTTTTTGTGTGACTGCATTTGGAATTTTCCATTAGCCAAATGACTCTCATCAGTCCATCCATTTACTGTATAGTACGGTAATACTTCGCGAAGTAGTTTAATAGACAACTGTGGAAAGGAAGAAGCGATTGTTGGCTCTCCGGGCCAAATCGACGTGTCTTCGTACAAAGTTTTACGAATAACTTCCTTGCTCTTGTCATCAGTAACCACAATAATTGGTACTTCGGTACAACCAACACAAAGATTTCGCATAGATCGGAGAAGACAAGCAATCATAACTCTATGTTCGTCGTATACGGGAAGTACAATACTAATTTCTTTATCACGAACGAGGTCTTCAATCAACGGTATGGGATATCCGTATCCAGAGTTACGTTGCTTTGAGCCTAAAAATGTTCCTGAGCTGGAACGGTAAAACTTCAATTTCGGAAGCTGTTCAGTACTATTAGTCATTTTTGGCAGTCTGAACGACGATGAAATAGAGAACGTACCCAAAGAAGGCAGTCTGAACGGCGATGAAATAAAGATCGCACTCAAAGAAAATAGCACTAAAATAGTGCATGTAATTATTATGTATTTGCATCGCAACAGCCCTCGTTGCGTAGTGGATTCATTGCCATTGTCATTGCATTCAATAGGTCCGTAGCTGGAGTTCATAATGGATTGAATTACTAAATAATGCAAAAATTCTATATTGCTTTGTAAAAGTTTTCTAAGACTGTATAAAGGATCAGCCAAGGCCTAAAAGGATCTACTGGGATTTGGTAACATCTACCAAGGTTTCGAAAGACTTCCGCAGATTTAGCACTGCATTCTTCCTATCTGTATTTTCGCGTTTCTCATCAGTTTTCTCTAGAGTGAGAATATAGGTTTTACTACTATGAGAAACGGATTGTGAATTTGGATTCTTCGACACAGAAAACCCTTGATTAAGGCTTTAAATGACTTAATATCTTCAAAATAGCCGTTTCCTCAAGCAGGCTGTAGTAAACTATGGTAGACCTCTAGTGAGCCCTGGTAGATCCTAGTACACTCGAAAGACTTTAATAGTTACTACTAGACCTTGGTAAATCCTGATAGATTTTCAAAGATAATAAACATTGTAATTAATCCCAAAAATATAGATACGATATATATTTTAAGAGTACATGATCAGAAGTGTATAACAACCTATGATAAATAAGATAATATTTATGTAAAGATCCACATCCTGTATCAATTGAAATGGAAAGGATCGTGATATGGATTGCTGAACTCTAATTTTGACGTACCATCAATGTGTGTCCGCAATGAAAGATGTTGATCTTATGATACTAAAGAGTTCACAAAAAGGAGAGAAGAACACGTATCTCAAATGCGTTCATCTTTCATAATATTCCTATAAAAAACTTTACTTTCATGACGCCAACTATCACTGCTTGTGGGAAAGAAGTGAAAGACAGACGACAAATCTCTACTTCTACCACAGATGTCAATCGCGGCTGAGAATCTGCCGCTGCCACAATGGCATTTTCAAGGTTGTGACGAGATTAAACTAGAGTAGCTGCTGCAAATTAATAAGATTCATCAAGCCTTATCGTACAGCATATATTAACGGTGAAATAAAATTTCGTCAAAAAGAATTTCGCGATCTGAATTTAAACTAATTTCAAAATTCTACCATCATTCGACATTGTCACAATTCAGATAGCAGAATTTCATAAAGCCGGGTGTGACTATTAGAATTTAAAACGATTATCACAGTCTGAGAAGTTCTAGGAGTGGTTATTTATTATGATTATAAAATTATTCCTTTCAACGTTATGTTACGACATGTAATCAAAAGATTATTGTCTTCACCCTATTTCTTGCGCTAAATTCTAAACTCCGCAAAGTACTTAATGTGATGAAGTAGATTATCTCCTTAATATTGATGCCAAGATGTATGCAGATGAGATTGTTTTACTCACCCTTATTGTCACGACTAGTTGAAAATTCTACTGAATCAATGAGCACTCGAGTTCATCTTCGATCTTGACATCTATACTCTGATAGACACACAAATAACAACACACTTATCAATTACTACTGACTTGTGAAATAATTTTCTTCCACCTGTTAGAGAGTGATAATATTTTTATCTAAAAAAGAAAATATAACAATGAGAGTAAAAAATATTCCTTCCAATATTGAGAATGTAATAACAATGACAGACAAATTTTTTTTGCGTAAAAGACTAAAGTAAAAAGAAATACGTTTTTTTCAGGAAGGAGCGTATATAAATGAGAGTAAGAAAAATATGTGTGCCAATGAGAATGCAGGAATGTTGATGCACAATTTTCTTGCACACGAAACAGCTTGTGAATGAGATTGAACAAGTTTTTTTGTGGAAGGAGAATGTGGAAATGACTAGAAAAAAATTATCACAAAAAGAGAATATAATTAAGATGATGGCCAACAGTGTCGTCGGAGGAAGACTCTACGGATGCGAATAAGTCAGTTTTTTTTCTCGAAGGAGAACGGAAGAATGACTACAAAAAAGTTGTTTTACCAAATAAAATATAATTAAGATGATGGACAAGTTTTTTCCGGGAAAAAAGTTTAACAACACAAACAAAAAGCAGTTTCTTTAGGAGGTAGAAAATAGGAAGAAGAGCAAGTTGCGTTCGCTGAAAATGCCTGCATGTTTTGCACACTTGCTGCAACCAAAAACACAAGAAATCCTGGCCGGATCTTTTTTCAAATTCTCAATGATATAGAACCGAGCTATCAACTAGAATGTAGGGGTGGCTAAATAAAGATATACATCTATATCCACAATCCACACCCACACCCACAAGTTTATCTTACGATGTTTTATGTCATCGCATGTTATATATCAATGTCATATAATGCCAAGTAAAGTTTTGAGTCACATTACTTTGTTTTATTTTTATCATAGAAGTATTCTCGTACTAGAATGGGTATATTATTTCGTGAATAAGAAAAAGAAAACTATCGAATGATTCAAACACAAGGAATACAATCAAAAAAAATTTATAGCTGAGTATAATAACTATAAGTAGCAATTCCACACATGCCATCCTTATTGCGTGCCACTTTAAAATAACCATCGAGGCCCCAGTTTTCACCCCATGAATTGCGTACCACTTAAATAACAAATATTCATACAATTCAAGATACTGAGAAAAAAATTTACTTACGCCAGTAATCTTGACCCTTCTCTGTTCCATAACCGACAATAGCAATCGCATGATCGACTTGTTTTGGACAAGATGGTATATCGATTATGTCTGATGCACCAGATTGTTGTGATGGACCATAGAATTGTAAATTAGATGTAACACAAATCGCAGCTGCTAATGGGCCGTAGGTGATCAATGCTCGTTTCATTTCTTCTTCATCATTAGGTGGCGTGTTTCCATATCCTTGGATAGTACCAACGTTTCCCGATGTCGAACTGCACGACTGACGACTGGCAACATATGGATATGATGCATCAGATTGTAGACCACCGCTTTGTTTGATATAGTCAAAAGTGGTACCAAAAAAGCCACCGGAACATCCATAATTTGGTGAACAATCGACTAGTTGCTGTTGAGAGAGTTTAATACGTGCACCTGTCTTGATAGCATAGGTACCTTCAATGGCAGCCGTTACAGCAAATGCATAGCAAGATCTAGATACAAAAGCAAATAGTAAAAAATTCTAACAATGATGACTTACCCGCATTGACCTTGGTTCTCTATTGGATTCATATATGGACGATAGTCAAGCATTGATTTAGCAGTCGCCGAACTTGTTGGTCGTCGTGTAATTTTATTCTTACGCGTTACAGGTTGGCCAGGATCAACAAATGTGTCAGAATCATCTGTACGATTTCTTCCAGGATGAATTTTTTGGTTTATCTTATTCTTGATTTTTTTTACCTTTTTCTTAATTGAATCGAATAAAAATCGTTTTTGTCGTTGCATTGACAACGATTTGATATAGATGGTTTGATCGGACTTGTAACCAGTCATTTTCGTGCGAAATTCTGGCAAATCCATATCGCCGAAATGATTCAAATGAAGTTTGAATGATTTCGTACCTTTCTCGAAGCGGGTATTTTCTTTAATGATAATTTTCAGATTGTTAATAAATTTTCCGAGACGTTCTTTTTCTTCTTCGGCCGTCTGATATTCTTTTCGATAGAATCTTTTATAATAGTTCCATAATTTCGTAACAACTTTATTGTCTTTCACCACTTCGAGTTTATTTGAAATTTTTGTCATCGCTTTTTCGATTGTATCATCGACGAACTAAATACGAAAAAGAAATGTTCAGTAAGAAGAAAATATTTGTCGCCACTTCATACATCTTGCATCGTTTTACCACCCATGAATAAAGCATCTTGTGTCTTGATGATGCAGCTAAGAACGAGAAGAGTAACAAAGAAAATGCGCAACATGATACTTGTAACTATCATTCAATTGAAAGAAATGAAGAAATGATTCAATCTTCTCGTTCTCACCGTTTATTATCACTTGCCACGGATTGACTTTCATTGAAACACGTTATCTATTCAATATACAGTATTGCTTACATTGATTTGAAATTACATTTATTGAATAAACTCAATTTTTTTGTTTCATTCTTATTTCATTTACCTATTGTATCAAAAAAGAACTCGATACAATAGAAGAAGAATATGTTAACTAAATAGAAGTTGTGTCAGATAATTATTATATTAGAAGCATGCCAGCCAGACGGCTGTATTGTTCATTTCTTTTCTTGTTGAGCGTTTCGTGAATAACCATTAATTGAACAAAGATCTGTTGAACTACATGCATGTTCTGCTCCGCTCCAGGAGTAGGTGTTACTGTTGGTGTTGGAATAGTGTACCCACACTCACTGTGACTAAGTTCATGAAGTCATTGAAGAAGGAGGAGTATAAAAAGACTTTTGATAAATGGACTGAACGAATGGAATTTTGTATAAACAATCAGGAGCATTATTTTGAACATTTGATATAATAAAAACGTTATAAAGTTGCTTCAAAAAAGCTTTCTTTTAATGACTCAATCATTTCTTTTTCTGTGCTTGTAATAATTCTATCACTGTTTAAAGATTGATGAAGTACGTAGAATTATAGAGCAAGAAATTCCATAAGATTTCTGTGAAATACAATGAGGTCGACACCACTACTTTCGATATGCTTTAAGTATATACCGTACTTGAATGAAATTCATGTAACATAACATAATGGTATAGTATACACATAAAAAAATTTAACAAAGGCCAATTATATGTCTATTGTCTGGCGAGTTACATACATCTGACGTTAGAACGTAGGTATATTAGCGACCGAAGTCTTCACTAGTTGACGATTTTGTCTCTCTTCTTTTCAAATTCTTATTTTTCTTGATAATCAGATATGATTCTTAAAAGGAAAGAAAAAGAGATTCTTGTCTGATCTTCAAGATCAACATCGATGATATCTTTGTGTGCATGTATCTATATATTCAGACAATACTTGTGTTCCATTTCAATAGTTAGTAAGTCAGAATATTTAAGAAACAAATATATATATATATATAAATCACATCACTATATCAAATTGTAGCTGATTTTACAGTTTTTAGCTGACGATTTGACGAAAGATCAATCATCGATTCAAGCAAGAAATATGAAGAAGACGAGCTTCAGTAATAGGTATGAATTTTTAATATGAATAAAATATTTTAATTATTTTTCTATTGTGAAGTTTACGTAAATATATTATTTTTATTATTGATCAGTTTTTAAACAGACATGTTAGATGTAAGAAAAAAAAAAGAAATCAAGAACGAATCTTGTCTGATTAATAAGAAAATCAAGAATCTGAAAAGACGAGAGACGAGATCGTCGACGAGTGTTTTTATCACAACTAACAAGTGAATTTATGATTTCATAATACTAGAAAAAAGATATTATATAAAAAAAGTTTTATGTTGCACGTGAAAGAAAAAAAGAGCATTCCTTGAAGTAGTGACTGAAGAATATTGGAATGCCTGAAATGTCTTTTTCGAATTCTACACTAATGTGATGTAGTGACGAAAAATAGACTTGTACTGTTGCTTGTCAATGATTGCACTTGATATACATGAAGCAACTATCAAAGGTACTTTTTTTTCTCTAACATTGTACACATTATAAAAATCAGTATATTCTGCATTGATAAAGTAATATATTTATTATCATGAGCATTTCCTTCCTATTCACGTCAAACCTATCGAACGCATTCGGAAATGAATTTAATCGAACACAAAAACCAGGGCCTTTGACAAGAGTAAAAAGTTGACGTCTGTTATCCGTACAAATATTTTAATTATAACAATTGCTATATCACTTTCTGTATTATTTTTTCCATTATCATTCTTATATTTGTCTTTCTTCGTTAGTGGGATATATTCATAGATGCATCCTTTTTTGTGAGCGGACACTTCCTGCATAATGTATGACACTCTTTCTCCTATCATTAAATATTAATTTATAGAAAATCTTAAAAAATAAAGAGTGAGTATATAAGAGAATAATAATAATAATGAATGCGTTCGAAGTTTTTTAAAAAAGTTTTACACAGAAGAAATAAGCAATATGATGTGGATAGTTTGTATCTTGTGTTTATTTTCTCTTGGTGATTGTATTCTGATTGGTTTCATACGACATACTACCTTGCTTGGAAATATGGATGAATCTTTATTGAATATCACTCAAAATGACTGTACATGTAAAATGATTGAATCCAATGGCACAATACGTGCATTGAACTATTTTTCAATCAATCAGACATGCCAATTATTTTCTTCAAATATTACCTCAAGAATAATTCAATTCAATATCTATTCTTTATTGATAATAATGGATCAATCACTACTAACAAATTGTAAGTTTAAGTGGAATCATATTTATTGATTTGTCCTTTGAAATATTGTGTGCATCTCCGAAATACCTAAAATAACCAGTGAAAACTTGAAGAGTCTTCTTGAAGTCAATAAAATATCCTCTTCTAATAGTTAGTACATATTCTTTAAAAGCTCTAAAAAATTATCAGATTCTATAAAACTTTTTAAAACTATTTTCTTGTCATAGATGCATATATCGGCGCCACACCCACAGTCATGCCCGATACAACAACAACAACAACAACATCCACTACATCATCAACAACACCAACATTATCCACTACGTCATCAACAACATCCACTACATCATCAGCAACATCCACTACATCATCAGCAACA